CCCAGCATCTCGGGGATGCTCTCGGCAGAGCGCCTCCAGCCTCCGGCCAGCAAAACGGATCGGCTTTCGCGAGGTGTGTGAAAAAAACCCCTGCGGAGGCGATCCCAGCCGCGATAAGTGACAACAAGGCACTTTATTAGTATTTTCTATAAACTCCCGGGTGCTGGGAGATAAGCGCCCAAATTAGGAGGCGGGGGGGGGGGCGGGGGGGGGAGCGGCTGTTTAAACGGGGATCCGCCGAGCCGAGGCTTGAAGTGCCACGAGGGACCGTGGGTGCCGCTGCCCAGCTCTCTGCTCCCCTCAGGTGACATTCGGGGACATCTCTCCCTCCGTCGCGTGTCCCCTCGACCCCCCGGCCGCCTCCGGGGCTGCCCCCGGGCTGCCGGGGAATCGGGGGGGAGCCGGCGAGAGGGAAGGGAACTGTTTAATAGATCCTCCGAGGATTCCCCTAGAGCATTATTTAAACTTCTAATTATGATTCATGTGTGTGATAATATTAATTTAATAATCAAGGAGCTGTGCAGGAAGCATTAACCTCAATTAAGCTCATTACTACCCTAACCTGGAATCCCCAGGGCTTTTAAATCTTCTACTATGAGGACCTGACACAGCATTGATAGAGGGCGAGATCTGCTTCAGAATCTTTTTTTTTTTTTTTTCCTAAATCATTCGCCTTCGTGAATAGTGTTAATTAATTCCCTGGTTTTGGCTCGGGGGTGCGTAGGGGGTCCTCGCATCCCCGTGGAGAGTCGGGTATCATCCTGAGGTGACCGCCTGTCCCCGGTGCTCAGCTCTGCCCTGCGTGGAGACACTCGCGGAACGCAAAATCAGGATGAGACCAAAAACCGTGTGCGAGACAGAGGCTGGTCCCGCTGCTCGGGGGCTGGCGGGGCACTGCCAGCGGCACAAACTAAAATAATAATAATAATAATAATAATAATAATAATAATAATAATAATAATAATAATAATAATAATAATAATAATAATAATCCTCCAAGAGGAGTCCACTAAGAGCAGGACGGGAGGAGTTTTGGAGCCCGATTGCATTTGGAAACAAAGTGGGGAAGGCGAGAAACCCCCCGGACCCCTCAGCTGGGCAGATGCAGCCGCGGGAAGACCCGCGTCGGCGGGACCTCGCTGTGCCGGGGCTGCGGGCAGCGCGGAGGGACGCGGAGGCTCCGCGCCTGGTGCAGCCACCGGAATGACCTTCTCGCCGCAGCGAGGACTGCTAAATTGTTTTACCGCGGCGATAAATGCTCTTAATTACCCGGAGCTCCACACCCCTCCAGGGACGGGGAGGGGGATGAATGGTGAACAGTCAAAAAAACCAAAACAAAACAAAAAAATAAAAAACGAAAAAAACAAACCACGAAGACGGGGGGGACGTGGGGGGGGAAAGGAAGAAAACAAGGGTCGTTCGTTGTTGCGGAGTTTACTGGAATCTAGTTTGAAATTCGGTATTAACTAATTAAGTTCGAGGCGGAAAACCTGTAGTAGCCGTGAGGGCGAGCGGGACTTCCCTTCCGAGCCCAGCACCCTCCGGAGCCCCGAGGCCTCGGCTCCGGGGCAGGAGAGGAGCGGGGACTCCCCGGGTCCTCCTGGGGTGAGGGGTGGCCGGGCACCGGCGGGATTTGGGGCAGAGCCCTTTGCGGGGTGATCCTGCCAAACCAGGGCATCGGATCCCGTCCTGAAACGCGACATCCCGAGGGGAGCCCTTCGCCTCCGGTGGGGCAGGACCCCCCCCCCGGGGACACAAGAGGCTCGGCGGGGACAGCCCCGGGTGGCAGAGGGACCAGCGGCTCCCGGGAGATGCTCTGGCCACCGGTGCCTTCAGGCTTTGGAAATATCACCTCCCCGGAGGTATAATTCAGCCTAACTACAGAGATAACCATCGCTGCGGCGGGGAGGCTTGGAAAAACGCGAGGGTGTCCCGCGTGTCTCTCCATTTATTTTGGAGAAGGAAGCGTTGCCGTGGGAGCTTTCCCCAGCGGGGGAAGGGGGCCGGCCCCAAAATATGGAGACCTGGCTTTGCATGGCTTTAATGCCAACCTTCTGGGGGGAGGGAGGAGGGGAGGATCTGCCAGCCCCCTCACCCCCAGCACCCCTTCCAGCTGCTCCCGAAAGGCAGCGGCCCCCCGGCTGGCGCTGGTCCCTCCTGCACGGAAAAATGGGAAAGACACTCAGCCTGGAGAGCCAGAGGGGACCGGTCACCCGGCCCGACCACTGGAGAGATATTACATGTCACAACTCATCTAGGGCCCCATAATCAGCGCTAACTTTCTGGTGAACAGATAACCAGAGATGGCAGATGGATGGAGATTGCACAAATGAGGCTCTAATTGACAATCAATTGTGATTAGGAGCAATAGAACATCTTTATAACACTCGCTTTAAACCGCCGACAAACAAAAGCGCTGGGCGGGCCGGGGGTCCCGCCGGAACGGGGCCCGGCAGTGACACCCCAGCATCCCTGCTGCCCCCCACACCCCGGGGAGGGGGGGGGGCTGTGAGCATCTCGACGTGAGCCCCTCTGCTTGGGGGTGCTCCCTGGGGAGGTGGCTCCTCCAAACACCCAGCGCAAACCCGCGGCTCGGTGCTGATCTAACCGCTCTGGGCTCTGCGCGCCCGGGGACTGTCCCTGCCCGGGCAACCAGGCACTGAGATTTAATTACAACTACATTTTTTTTTTTTTTCCTAAAATGTATTCACACAGGGAATAAAAATTACCCTCCACCTTCCTAAAAAACTCATTCTCCCCGAAATAGGTACAAATGCAGGTGACTACAACAGCAAATCTGATAAAGCCAAGTCATTGGCATCTTCCTAAACCACCATCTACTTTTCATAAATAATATCGCAGAACTGCGGGCGGAAATAATGGGAGGAAAATTTATCCACAAGAGAAGATGAGATCAGACGCACTACTGGAGGAGGAGGAGGGGAAGAGGAGCTGCTAACAAACAAATAAACAAACAGATGGGTGTGGGTTTGTGTAAGTGTGTGTACAGGCAGATTCAAACTTCGCTCTCGCTGTGTGTTCGTGGCAGCCCCGTGGTAAGGTCAGGAAAAGGGGGAGAGGTAATTACCTACACACGATCAGAGATTATACATACCACTTCAACCCAGGAGATGATTTATAATTTAAAGATAAAGCATAATAAAGTCATAAAAGGGAAAGGACACTGTTGTGGTGTCTGATTAAAATCTAAGGGCTGGTGTATAATATATGAGCGGGGGCTGTTGTGGGCTTCCGCTCAGCGGGACTCCCCTGGGCCCAGCCCGCTGATGGACTAATCATGTCCAAGCCCTACCAAAATTACAAGCTGATTGTTTTACCCATTATTTCTCCCAACTTTTAATTTCTGCTTTCTAAAGGATCATTGCCCGCGGTAATTGCAAAGGACCTGTCCTTGTATGTGTCACCAGCCTCAAAGACAAAAAAAATCTAATTTTCCTTTTATGCTTTCTCTATTTTCCAACACCACCACACCCCCCTTTTTTTTTTTTTTTTTTTTTTTTTTTTTTTTTCTGGCAGCTAATTCAAACTGAGTAGCGACTGAAGCGTCCAAAACAAGAATGAAATTGATATGATCAAAGCACACACGGCTATACACGAAAAGGAATGAAATTAGGTAGGGGAAGAAATTCAGGTTTTATAATTCGCAGATAACTTTTATTCCTATCTCTTAATTTTCCATGATGAAAGCTACTTTTAATAAGAGAGGGTTTTTTTTTGGAAATGGAAGTTAGGTCTAGTTATTGCTTTACTTTACTCCTGCATGGGAGGGAACAGACCTTTTCTCCCACTTACTCAGAATTTATTTATCGTCGTGTTTTGTCTTGTGCCGTTTAAACGTATTAATTTTCTTCCAGCACTTTCCTGGCACTTACATTTGATATTTAATATAAATTAATTAGCTAAAGGAGAGCGAGAGAAGCGTGTGTGCGGGGGGGGGGGGGGGGGGGAGGGGGGGAGGGATGTGGTGTGTGGTGGTGTCCGCAGACAGAAGCCCTGCTCCAACCACTAAACCTCCGTCCGTAATTTTCTCCTTTTTTTCTAATTTCATAAAACCAGCAGGGAAGAGAAACAGGTGCTGGGGGCTGGCATCTCTGAGCCCACACACACAAAATCCCCTTTTGATCATCTAATTCCACTATTAGGGATGGGAGACCTTAAATTCCCATTTTCTGTGTATAATATCTTCTTTATATTGATCCCGCAATTATTTAAAAGAAAGCGTCATCTCCTCCCACTTCTCCAAATAAGGCTATTTAGATGCTTTCCAGATGAGTGGAGGTGTGCTGAAACAGAGCTGACAGCCAAGTATATCACAGCCAACACCATCCTTCATTCGCTCTCTCCCTCTCTGCCCCCCTCCCCCGGCACACTTTCACCGTGTCTCTCCTCCAGTGATGAAGATTACAGACTATTATGGGCAAGGGATTAATTTGTAGCCAATTACAATCCAGTGCTAAATATGAATGCATAAATAAGATACAGCCTTGCCTCTGTGTGTATGTGTGCGGGGGGAGGGGGGGGTGGGGGGGTCGGAGCCGCCTGGCCAGCCTGCTGAGGATGATGAGAAGGAAGAAGGAGCAGCCGAGTGGAGGCTCTGAGCTGAGCATCACCTTGTGAGTCCCTGCCTCTCTCGGAGGCTCCCGGCCGGCGGGACCCAGCGCAGCCCCGGGGAGCTGAAGGCGGCGGCCCCTGAGCCGGAGCGGGGGCCGGGGAGGAGTTTCCAGCTCAACTTCGCCGGAGAAAGGCGGGGGGGGGGGGGGGGGGGGGGAGAGAGGAAAAAAAAAAAAAAAAAAAAAAAAAAGAGGGGGGGTGGGGGGGAGAAGTTGCAACCGAGAGGGGCTCTGCAAAGAGTCATGAATGTGAGCAGAGACAAGGTCGGTGACATCTCCATCCCGGCAGCGGCAGCCGCGGCGGTGACAGCCCCCGCAGCCGCGGCGGGCAGCGGCGGGGAGCCCCGCGGCTCGCTCGGGGACGGCGGCATGGACGGCCACGGCGAGCTGCCGCTCTACTCCTGCCCGGGAAACAGGGACAGGCAAGGGGACAACCAGAGCAACACCCCCGGACAAGAGGGGGCAGTGGCCGCGCTGCCCATGGTGCACAGGACCACCTCCTTCTCCGTGCTCGACATCCTGGACCCTAACAAATTCAACAGCAAGAGGAGGCAGTGCGCCGTCTTGTACAAATCGGTGGGGACCGAGTTCACGCTGGGGGCGGAGGATAAACCCGAGGACTCAGGGACGGAGCTGGCCGAGCAAAAGGCTCTCGCTGAAGATTTCGACGCCTGCAAGAAGTCCGCAGACCTGATCAGTAAGTAGGTCTGGGGGCTCGGAGGCCCCCTCCCGAGGGGGGGGGCTGCCCCCAGCTCCCCGAGGAAGGGGTTTGCATGCTTTTAAAGATTATCCCCCCCGCTTCCTCCGCTGCCTTCGCTGGCAGCCTCGGGAGCCGGGGCGCTGGGGAGAGCGCCAACGCTCCCTGCGCTGGGTGTAAAGGGCGGGGGGGGGGAGGTGTAAACTGCGTTAGGCTGGGAGGGGGCAGGAGGGAGGGAGGGACGGGGACATCGCCCCGGGGCTGGCGGCGTGGCCCCGGAGCTCGGCACCGGCCCGGCTCCGCTCCCGGCGCTGGCCCCGGGGGGGGCGGGGGACACCCCAGGCTGTGCGGGGAGCGGCAGGATCAGTCCCGGGGGTGCCGAGCCGGCTGAGGCGGGGAGCGATCCCGCCATCCTCTTCCTCCTCCCGGGAAGAGGCAGCTCCGGCTCAGGCAAACTTGCAAGCGGCCCCTAGAGCTGAGGCTTCAGAGGGCCGGAGCTCTGGTCCCGGGGGTGCGAAGCCCCCTCTCTGTGCCCCCCCCCCCCCCCCCCCCCTCGCCTGGCTCTCCCCAGGCATTTATGACTTTTATGTACCTTCTCCCCAGTCTCCAACCCGCTCTCCCCGTCCCTTCCCTCCCCCCCTCCCCGCAGCCTGCCGCCCCTTGCTCTGGGCGACAGATTCAATTTTCTCTCTCCCCTTGGCTTTTTTAGGACAAATCAGACTAATTGTGACAAAATGCTGGTTATCTCTGGAAAAACAATTAAATTCCTTCGATTACATTTAAGGTAAAATGTGCTTAGCAGCGTAAAGAGGCTGGATAATGGGGGAAATCGCCCCAGAGTGGCATGTAGGACTGCCTGGATCGATATCCTATTATCGAATTGTGCATATCTCTTTCAAGCACCTTGCAAACTCTTCCCTAACATCTAAATTATAGGGTCAAAATTCGGATAATTACTCGATTAAAACCTATTACACTTATTAGGGCTCGCTATTGATCGGGAATTGCATTCGACCCAAGCTCTAGATTGCGTTTTCTTTCTGGGTCCAAATATCCCAACTTTCTCACCTCTAAACACCGCGACTGTGGGGATAGCGGAGGGTTTCCGGGAAAAGACGGGAGTGGTGTAAAATATCTATAGCTATTCTATGTCCCGAGAGGGGAGAGAAGGGGTGACGGGTGGCGAGGAATAAACTTCTCGGGTAGGGAAAAATAATCTCTCCGTGTCTGGGGCGGGAGGCGAGGACTCGGAGTTTTCTAATTCCGCCGTAGCCTGACGCTTTCAATTAAAATTAGGGAGCGAAAGAGGTCCGGAATCTGCTCTAGCCCGAGACTTTTACAACAGACGCATTTTTAATCCCTAAAGCAAAAGCAGGAACGAGGCATTAATAGAATTCAAAAGAGATTTTTTAAAAGCAGTGCGTATCTGGGGTAATTATTCCTCTCAACTCGTCCGACTTTTGTCATACTAAATAGATTTGGGCGATCAGAAAGACTGACGAGGTCAGCCTATCGCTAATCTCACACTTTTATCTCAAGACAAGGAGAGAAATGCAACTCTATCACTTCTCTAAAAATAAATATATTTAGAGGCATCAGGAAGCGGTGGCTTCGCCTGCTGACAAGTTTCCCGGACACTTCGCACATTTAGTCCTCCGGTCTTACCGCCTTCATATTACGGCTACAGCCATGAATAGATCTGGGACTGGTCGAAAATCACGAAATTTAATTCGTCTCTTTCCCCATCGGAATTAATATTAGCTCAAGCAGTGGTTTAATTTAGGAGAAGTGTTCCTGAAAGTAGCTTTGGCCAGAAAAGTACCAACACCCAGAAAATGCAAAGGTTTTCTGGCAAAAAGAAAGTGAAAACAGCGTGTGTCACACAGCGCTCGTAAAACTCCTTTAACGTTAAAAATAACGGTTACAACTCCGTCTTAAATTAACATTTAACGTCGTTCAGAAACAAACTCGGAAGTCCAGAGTCAATCTTCTCCACCAAATGTATTCGCGCTGCATTTTTACATTAAAATAAAAATTTATAGTTGAGCTACCGCTGGGAGTTCCTAGAGTTTACTGGGAAAAACAAACAAGCAAACAAACAAACACTAGCCTAACATGCCCATTCCAGGGTCCCTGAGGGGTCCGTGTGAGCGCGATGTGCGCTGGCATCGTGCTCGGGCCCCAGAGCTGCCCCGCAGGCGTATCTACACAATCTATAAATTGCTAAAAAAAAAAAAAAAAAAAAAAAAAAAAGAAGAAGAAGAAGAAAAAAAATTACGCACTGCAATTTATAACAGGTTCTACAGGTTGCAGGATGCTCATCCGCACTGTGTCGGGTTGGGAAAAATAAAACCCGGCTCACATGGGGGTGCGGCGGCGGCCACTCGCTTTTTCTGTGCGTCGATTTGACCAGAGAGCTGGAAAAGACTCTTAATGAACCCTGAGTTGTTAAGGAATGTTTTCCTGGTGAAGAGGATTACGATAAACTTCTCTGCCCCTTTTTCTCCCGATGAGACAGCCATATCCGACGTTAGCCGAAATCAGCTCGTTGAACAAAACACGCTTTTTAAAAACACCCCTAATCTTATATACCAGCTTTAGGGTGTCCGGCGTTAGGATAGGGGCCAAGTTTGAGGTGCAACAGTGCGTTCGGGTTTTTTAAGGATTAAAAACAAGTAAAGTACGCACGGGATAAGGGCAACGGATGAGATTCGCTTTCTATTTGCACATCTCGGCGAACCAAGTTAAAGCAGCCCTTGATAGGGGGTTCCCGCAGCGGCACCCCCGTTGCAAGTGCGACTGGAGGGAAAGTTTAGGAGTGTCGGAGAGCACCGGCTACAAAGGATGGTATCTGTGGGCCTCTGCTCCCCGACCTGCCCGCCGTGCCTCCCACCACCCCCGGTCCCCCGGAGGAGCCCGAGCCTCCGGCCGGGGTCAGGAGGAGCCAGCTCCCTGGAAAATGCGATCTGCTTCCAGGCTGCATAACGACAGAACCGTCAACAGAAGTCCGATAGCCTTAAATATGGGATAATTACCGTGTCCTCCGATGGAGACCCGTTAATTGGAGCGTAATATAAACCCAAATAAATTAAATGACCGTTAACTAGTTTGTACATTACACAAAATGAGTTTAATTAAGTTTGTATCTGCTCTGCTAATCAATACAAGTATTTACTCCACTTTAATACTTCCATCTCGGGAAGTGACAAGAGGTCAAACGGGGAGGAGAAAGGGTTAAAAACGCCAGAGCAGAAACCGGCAAATCTCCCATCGGTGCGGAGATTTCAGTCACTAAAATTGTTAAAAGCGATGTGACATCTTTGCTGCCCGCTTCCAAAACAGGGCTGGCCCGACCCCGGCGGGGAGCGCCGGGGGCTTGTCCCGGGGGACGCCGGGGACCCCCCTTTTGCCTTCCCAAAGGCCTTTCCAGCTCCTGAGCGTTTGGTGGGCGCACCGGAGGCGGTGGGAAGGGCGGGGGGGTGGGGGGATCCCCTTGCCCTGGCCGCCTCTGCGTGCCAGCTCTGAGTAGCTCGGAAGGGGCAGCGGCGGCAAAGCCTCCCCGGGGCTGGCCGGCCCTTTCCCGGCCCCAGGGCTGCAGCCCCCGAGACGCCCCCGGAGGCGGCTCCGAGTCCCACCCCGGCCATTCTGGGCAGCTCCTCGCCTTGTGTGTCCTCGGCCCATCCCCGGAGGAGCGGCTGGCCACGCAGCCGGGAGCGGGGGACGGACACCCGGAGTGGTCCCGCATCCCCGCTGCGGGCGGAGGGTCCCGGGGGAGCCGGGCAGGGCGGCGGGGGTGCCAAAAGAGTGACTCCCACTCCTCGGTTTACACGGCGAGGCCCCCGCTGCCCTTCCCATTCCCACCTCCCCCCACACCCCGGGAGGCCGCGCCGATGGGGAGCGGGGGCGGGGGGGGGGGGGGGGGGCGGCGGCGGCGGGGTTCTCCTAACAGCGGCTGTCGGTTGTCCGCAGAGGACGGCGAGCTCTACAAGGCCGAGGAGTGCGACCTGGACTACGGCAGCCGGCCGAGCCGCAGCCCCGACAGCGAGCTGCCCGACGACGAGGAGCTGTGCAGCGAGGAGAGCAGCAGCAGCAGCAGCAGCAGCAGCAGCAGCAGCTCGGCCGCGCCCGGAGAGCCCGACCCGGGCCACCTCCACACTGAGGGGACCGAGGCGGGCGGGCCCCCACCGGCCCAGCCGCCGCCGCCTCCCCCGCCCCCCCCGCCGCCCCCTCAGCCGGCGGCGGCTCCCGGCGGGGCTCCGGCGGGCCCGCCGCAGGCCAAGCCTAAAAGGAAGCGAACGGGCTCGGACTCCAAGTCGGGGAAGCCCCGGCGGGCGCGGACAGCTTTTACCTACGAGCAGCTGGTGGCGCTGGAGAACAAATTCAAATCCACCCGGTACCTGTCGGTCTGCGAGCGCCTCAACCTGGCGCTCTCCCTCAGCCTCACCGAGACGCAGGTGAAGATCTGGTTCCAGAACCGCCGCACCAAGTGGAAGAAGCAGAACCCGGGGGCCGACACCAGCGCTCCCACCGGCGGCGGCGGCGGGGGGGGCGGCGGCGGGGGGGGCGGGCTGGGCGGCGGGGCGCTGCCGGGGGGGCTCAGCCCCCTCAGCCACTCGCCCCCCATGGGCAACCCGCTCTCCATGCACGGCCCCGGTGGCTACGCCGGGCACCCGGCCGGCGGGCTGGTCTGCGCCGCCCAGCTGCCCTTCCTCCCCAGCCCCGCCGTCCTCTCGCCCTTCGTCCTGGGCTCGCAGACTTACGGCGCGCCGGCTTTCTACACCCCGCACCTATAAACCCGCCGCTCCTTCCTTCTCCTCCTCCTCCTCCTCCTCACCGCCATCACCCCCCCCCAGCCCCCTCCCGCTGTGCCCCGCCGCCCCTCAGGGCGCTTGGGGGACCGGTTGCCGTGCGGCTCGCCTCCACACCCCCACACCCCCCCCCAAAAAAACCAAACCAAACCAAAACAAAACAAAACAAAACAACCCAACGAGCACCTGGCAGCGACACCGGGAGGAAAAGGGGCCAGGGGCTCCCACCGCCCCCCCCTCAGTCCCTCCGGCCCCAGCGCCCGCAATCATTTCTACGACCCTTTTTGTACGGGATATGTCCGGACTCCGCTTCTGAGGGGAGGAGGAGAAGGAAAACCTCCCTCGCCCGTGTACATACAAGTAGATGTAAATCATCGTTACCAGTATTTTTATTTTCACAGTCCCTCGTTGCTATGTGGGTTTGGTTCTTTTAATTATTATTATTATTATTATTATTATTATTGACTTCGTTTTTATTCTGGTCTGGCCACTCGTAAAAGACTATAAAAAAAAGTATTATGTACCCATTTGACTCTCAGGGTAAAACAGAACTATCGGTCCTGGCCCTCGACATTGCTGAGGCAACGACGCGCCGCTCCCTCCCGTGACCTCACGGTGACGACAGTTATTTTTTACATACGTCACTCTTCAAAGAAAGCCGAACCTGGACGAGCCGCTGCGGACACGCGGGGAAGGGGCGGCGGGAGCGGCTGCTGGGGCGCGGGCTTGTTTTTTTTTTTACGTTAATCATTTCTGTATATTTCTGGTTGTTACGGAAAAAAAAAAAAGTTTTAACTTTATAATTAATGTATAAGGTATGGGAGTAATGAGCAAGAGATGATATAGAAAGCACTTTGTTTGCTAAACACTTTAAATCAATCAATAAACTTTAAGGAAACGGCGGCTTTCCGTGGTGGCGAGTCCCTGGTTTTCGGCTGAATTCTTGCAAGATGAGTTTCCTCTGGAAGACGCCTGGCTCACGGGCCGTCGGGAGGGATGTCTTGCATCCTCCTTTTTTCGTTTCGTTTGCTCTAACAGCGTACTTCTTATACGCAAATAAACTTTATTATTCTTGTACGGGAGAGGGCATTTCCCTCCTTAGTTCCCTTGTTTGCATTTTCTTAGTTGGCTTTGCCGATTGTTGTTGTGCAGTATTAAGAACAAAAAAAATTTCTTTTTTTCCCATAGAGAATCCGAGATGTCTCCTGTGTTTCCGTAGACAAGAAGTCCAATATTTTTGATTTATGTAAATTTAATAAATTATCTCTTTAATTCAGATTCCGCCACTTTAAAAAAATAATCTTTCCATCGCCTTTCCGCTGATTACTTTGAAACTAGGATCAAAGTCGGTCTTTTATAATCGTTACTTTATTATATTTTTTTCTTAATTTTAAAGAAAAAGTCTATAGCCACTTTGACCATCCCGAGCTGGCTACAGCTTCCAGCCCGAGTCGACGCTCTGTCCCGTGTCCACACTCCCTGCGTGATCCCAAAGTTCACGAGGGGGAAGAGCTCTCTCTTTCCAAGTTGTTTGGTGGGTTTGTTTTTTTTTTTTTTTGTTTTGTTTTGTTTTGGTTTAGTTTTGTTTGTTTGTTTGTTTGTTTGTTTGTTTGGGGTTTTTTTTGCCTCAGCCCAGAAATTTGACGACTGCCTTGCCAGGGGCAATTTTAAGAAAATAGCGTTTTCCGGAGCGATTCTGGAGAGCAAAGAGAGGTGATGAGCGCTGCGCATCATCCCCGCCCCCAATTCCACCTTCCCCGCGGGGCCGGTTGAGGCACCCGCCCCCCCTCATCTCTGCCCGACAGACGGGGTGCCCGTGCTCCGCTCCCCCGCCGGCTCCTTCCTCCCGGTCCCCTCCCTGATGCCCCCCCCCCCCCGCCCCCAATGTCCCCCCAAGGCGGCTCAGGCCCGGCAGCCGCAGGTTGTGGGGCGCCGCGGGGGGAGGGACCGCACTCCCCATCAGCTCCCCCCACCCCCTCTCCCTCCCAGACCCCCGCTGGAGAAATCCAGAATATATTTCAGCCCTCCCGTGGAAAGAAAATCTGCCGCGATCGCTGATATCGCAGGCACGGGGCGAGTGGAGCCGGCCCCGGGGTGCAGCCCCCCCGCAGGGACGGTGGGTCCCAGTGCCCGCGTGGGTGCTGGCGCCCAGCAGCTTGGCCGACGGCGGGGGTGTGTGTGGGGGGGGTGTGCGGGCACCCCAGCTCCACTTCGGGGCTTCATCTCCCCTCCTTCAGAAGCGTGCAAGCGCCAGAAGTCCCGGACTAGACTCATTTGCATTTGTGCATGTAAGAACTTGCACGATAAAAGACGTTCTAAAGTAAACGTTCAGGGAAAATATGATGAGCAGTGCTTGAAATACAGCTCTGCCCAGCTTTTGCCAGCAGGAGAAAACCAGCTAAACTGGGAAACGGATACTCAGGTGACTCTCCCACACTGTAAAACTAACCCGTTAGTGACCAGGTTTGAGCTAGTAGTGCTACTAGCAGTCAAACTGTTAGCTTGGATGGGACATGACCCAGCTTACTTAGGAGATAATTCAAACCCCTCCTACGCACCAGGAGCTCCAAACAGTTTTCCCAAGTGAAAAATAATTCATTTCCAACAAGGAGCTGCTCAGAGCTTCGGAATAGTTGATTTTCCTACTCCAGGTCAGTTAGCATCCTGCCAGTGAAACCTGTTCATGTGAGTATTATTACTCACAGCTGTTGGATGAAGGAGTCAGTTAGTCTGAGATGCCTGGTCATTAAACTCGATTTAACAAGGCTTCTCACATTTTATAGCAGTGCTGAAAACAGACCTGCAGGTACCTTTCTCAGCATAGTTTAGGAAGTCATTGCTAATCTTTGCTTGAGTGCCTCATCCAGAGGGCTGATCTCATAGAAGTCAAGAGCAAAACTGCAGGGCCTGGGCTCTGGTGCGTGCCCTCCCCGCCGCGCAGCACACGGGATGCTGTCTGTATGCAGAGGCCGTAGAGAGTATAGAGGCCGTATAGAGCTCACCCTCAAACGATGCTCTGCAGCTGGCTCGTGGTGCTGGATCACACCGCATGGTTACGGACTTGCCAGGGAGGTGCTCGATGATATTGGCCCAGGGCAGTTGTTGAGAAATACGCCTGGTCTGAATGCTCAGCACCCGGCGGGCTGAAGTGAAACGCTCTTGCCTGCCTGAACGTCCTGGCGCCGCTGTCCCGTGTTCCTGCCCAGTGATTCTCTGGCTCTCTGAGGATGAAGCGGGGCTTGAGGCAGCGATTCGAGGCTATCGGACCAGATAGTCACCAAAAGCCCGCAGAGCTCCCCTGCTGAGCCCCCGGCAAGGCCCAAAGGCTGGTTCCCACAGTGAGCCTACCTGAGGTACCTACTGCACTGCCCCCAAAGGTCTGTGCTCCCGCGCAGAGCTTTTTGGGGGGGATGCAGCTTGTTTTCAGAGAAGTCATCAATGAGAAACAGAGACCCTGGTGTGGCATACGCAGAATCTGCTGACTGAGGGAAACATGATTACGACACAGGCAGGAGGTGTTTGCTCTGGTTCATTCTGTGAGGTGGTTTTGTTTGTTTGTTTGTTTTGTTTTGTTTTTTAATTACTTTATTATTCATTCATAAAATTTAGTGTTAGGGGATTCAGAATGCAGAACACATTCAAGAGGATGTTTAGCAAAATGTTTGCCAGAGGACAAATTCTCATCTCAGACACATGAGCAGCACAGTCAGAGTCAGATTCAGTATTTTCAAGTGACGTCTTTGGCACGTACTGGGGCATCAGCAGATTTTTGAACTAATGTTCATGAAGTCAATGTTAAATCCAAGGGTGCGAGCCTGTAATAGTGAGAAATGCTTCAGATATTAATTGCACTTTACTGTCGTTCACTATATGATTGAATGAGACAAAAAGAGAAGAAAACTGCTTCTATTTTACTTCAAATATTTAAATTTACACTGAACAAGTTTCAGTTGTTCACGTTCACTGAATAAACAGCAGTAAAATGTCTTATAGTTGAAATAATAGAAAAAAGCACATGAATACAGACACATTTCAAATGATTGGGAGATAACTGAAAATATTTTGAAATATTTTGTGTCATTGCTTGCACACAACAGTCAATGATGTTAAACGAAATAACTGGAAATCAGAATTGTATACTATCACCTCCAAAAAATTTCTTGGTGTTATTTCCAGTTGAGCAGGGAATGTACATTTAGTGAGTTACTTTCTTAGATTAATTCTTAGAGGTATTTCACGTGTTGCAGATCAAACTCACAGTCAAGTTACATGATTCTATTCTTACACTACATAAGGAAAATGTTAAAAATAAAGTCTTGTCTGTATGAACTTAAATCCATTTCCAAAAAAAACACCATTATGTGTGCTTGTAGCCTGCTGTATTGGCAAATATCCATTAGCTCCTGAATTAAATGTATAAAATTGTTCTGCTCAAACACAGATGTATTTAAATACTCAAAGGAACATTTTTTCATAATGCCTGGGCATTTCTGGCCTTCAGGTTCTGTCTCAAAGATTAAGCACACAAATATAGTTGTTGTAGAGCCTTTCTTAAGAGCAAATAAACCAAAAAATTTTGATGATACTGGAAAATTCGCCAGACTCTGGGAGGTAAACCAAGGCACAGATCAGAGCAGATGCTGAACATGACGGAGACAGGCAAGTAAACAAAAGGGATCCTAATCAGTTTGTCTCACAAAGTGGGTTTACATAAACCACCTTCTTCTCTATCTGGTGCTTTTTTCCCCCCGCTTCTGCCTATACTGTTCTGTACCACTCGCTGATGTTACACAGACATCTCAGGTGGACAGGATGACGGTTGTTACAGTGAAAATAACCCTGACAGTGAGAGCTCTTTCTACTTCCCTGATGCTGTCTGGCAGCGATGTGAATTCATCATACAGAATAAGCTTCAAAGCAGCTCGGGAGGTTATCACAGCATCGAAAACCTGGAGCTGCTAAATCTGCAGTGCCCATTCAGGGGAAATCCAGTGCATGCTGGAAATCCTATGGATGAACCCTGTATCAGTAGAGAAACACCAAGGACACAGAGGGCAACTCAGGATCAGGACCCAAAAGTCTGGGCATGCAGGGTCAGGCACTGTGACAAAAAACAGCTAAATCCAATATATTATTTACTAATTTAATCTCATTATATGACAAATCTTAATCTAGCTAAAAGTGTCACACCACCCAAAGTGCTAGACTTTATTTTAAATACATTTTTTATATTTTCTCCTCCGTAATGTCACAAACCAGAAACATTTTACAATGGCAATAAAGGAAGGATGGCACTACAGCGAAGAACTGGAAGTCACAGAAATATTTATGTGAGATGATGATTGACACAGTAAAGATCCACCCCCTGCAGTAAACTACTGCTTTTTCAAGAGAAGGAAGATAAATCTACTAACCTTAGTACAAATATCTTGTTTACTGCTAATTTCCTTTCTCTTATTTTTTTTTCTCCCCATAATCACACACATACATTACAAGAACTTGCCCTGCACATCAAGGGACTTGTTCCTGTCTTTCCACCCTTAACACAAGTAGGGTGACAAACTTTGGTTCCTCTGCCTTGGTCCCCAGGGACTGCACGAGGGGAAGAGAATAGCAGGAAGAAAAAGCATTTGGAGGAGCTGCTGGTAGGGTCATTTCAATTCCTTGTGTTGACCCAGAGTTTGTAGTACCAAGGTGCACTCTTTATAACCCAATAAATACTTTGAGATTTGCGATTAAGAACGCTCTTTGGACCTTAAAGCACCAGCATTATGCCCTGTAGTGATGATTTGGAGTGAAGTACCGTGTCTGCTTTGAGCACACCCTGCAGCATACCCGATCACACTCTTGTTTGCCACTTCTGCTTCAGCGTTGGGGAAAATAAAGGCTCAAGCACATGTGGAAGCAACATCTAGTTTCAGCCCTAGCAAAAACGTGGCAGACTCTCCTCCTGGTGCTGCTAGCCTTCAACTGCCAAAAATACTATTACAAAAATTCAAATATATCCAAAAGCAATTTCCAAACAAGCAGAATCGTATATTTCCATATACCTTTTACAGTGTGCAAGGATAAGAGTGGCTCCATAATGGCATTATAAATATAGCAAATTAATGGTGGATGCAATGCCAGCACCTTGTCGTTATGCAAATTGGAATGTCGGCAGAAATGGTTATTCAACAATCGCTTTCAAAGTAACCAGACGCCTAATGCTGCTCATTACATCTAAACTAATTAGCACCACATTTAAACAATTTTAATAAGCTTTTTCCTTAACCCCTTGACAGAGGGGATTCCTGATGCTAATGTAAAAACGTATGAGTGCTTGGCACAGGAGTGCTGGGGCTTTGCTCAGGGCACTGACAGGCAGAGAAGTGAGGGGAGGTCTACCCAAAAAGCCAAATGACAATATTTAAGTTACAGATATTTAAGGAAGAAGAAACAGATTGCACTGGCGTAAAGTCTAGTTCAGCTTGCCCAGGCTCTGGTGCAGCCTATCACTAGCACAAATACCACCGTGCCCTCCTCCCAACACAGCAGAGCCTGCTCTCAGACCGCTCTCCTCAGCTGGGACTATATTTAGGCTCTGTACTACCCAGACCTAGCTGATAGGAAAGGCTCAATGAGGGCATGAATTGTTTGCTCTTTCCACTCAATCAGCATTAAAGGAGAGAAAGAGGAGGGAAAGCATCAGCTCAGAAACGTGAGTAATTAATAGCTCTCTCCCCTTTTTCTCCTTCAAGGGCAGCATCCAGCTCCAGCAGCTGGATGGGCAATAACTTTGTCCCACGGGTCACAATTTGTCCAGCTGCCAGGCAGAGCCAGCTCTCATCTGCACGGATTTTCCAGGGTATGTGCTAAGTTTTAGGATCTCTAGCATCTCTCCCAGCTGAAAGGGGTCACCAGTGCTGCTGGACGGGGAGGGTCCAGACAGGTCTTGATCCAGGCTGCTGCTCTGCCACCTTAGACTCTGTCGGTGTTTCCCACCCTTTCTTAAGACCTTCAGATTCTGTAGAGGATTTTGTAATAGAAAGCACCATCACCACATCCATTTCAGAGGGATGTTCCTAGGGCTCTGAGTGTACCAACAGGCTCTAATTTCTCTCACTAGTCTTTCACCAGCTTTCTCTGTAACCCTCCTCTGTATCCTCACCCCACAGCCTGCCAGATGTTCAAGCTCTGCACTGATGTGGCACAGCTAACCAGCTGAGCTAGGAAAGACCTAACGGGTGCCCACCCTGAACCCTCTGGCTGGCTGTAGGGGAACTGCATGCAGGTAGAGTCCCTTTGCCTGTGCTGTGGTGTAGGTGCTGTGCTTGGCTTTGTACTTTACTGACCCACACCCTGACCTTTGCATACTGACTTGGCTCCAGACCTGCCTTTTATCTTGGTGGACTTTCAGGTAATTGCTGACTGGTGGCCGGGTCTTTTACTATTACCAACCTTGGGGTTTTTGTTTGGGTGCAGTGGGATGATGCCCCTTGCCAGGAAGGCTGCTGACCCTTCCTGTTTTTACCTTCTGCTCCTGGCACCTACAGTCTCCACCCTGTTTTTTCTTTCTCACCTTGCTACAGACTTGACTTTGCACTCCCAGCACTGTGTTTTCCTTGGGCACCAGCTTGGGGCAGAACTTTCTTTCATGTTTCCAGATGCAAATTCAAGTGTTATTTTCACCCAGGAGCAGGATGTTGTCAATTGTTTTGGTTTTATTTAAATGTAGTTCTCCCAGAGCATCCCAAAACAGACACAGGGAGAAACTGCTCTTCAGTAGTTATCAGAATAATAACCTTCTCTCAGACTTCAGTGTCCGAGAGGTCCTACGGGTTGATCTAACTGGTGACAATTGTTATGAGGGAGCTCTTTCCTGAATCCATGAAACTCAGTGGTGTTTTTAATGGTAGGTGTCTAGGGGATGAGGATCCAGCTCCAGCCCTCCCTTGCTCCAGTCTGGGGACTGTAATCTGGAAGGCTTTTTAACCTTCTGTCTAGTCTCCTACAGCAGAGCTGAAAATGCTTCATGTGGCTCAGTTTCCATTCCCGCAGGAGAAGGGGTAATGAGAACTGTCTTCTTCCAGCTCCTTTGCATTTAAGTTGCCTGTGGCTTGGACTATCTCCTGAGACAGGACATGGGACTGTCACCTCTTAGGCTGAGGGACCTGGAACTCCACCCTGCCTGAGCGTGTGCTCCAGCATTATAGCTATTACGTGCACTGTGATTGCCACTGCCTATTTAAAAACAGTGATTTTTTAAAGGTATGTGTTTAGTGGGTGTTAGGCAAGGTGGGAAAATACATGCTAGGTCAAGCCTTCTCAAGTGCTCATACCATTCTTTCCCTGGGTCTCATTAGGCTTAAGCAAGAGCTCTGGTCTAGGTGGGAAGGCCAGTGCCGCTCAGGCATGTACAGACCCTTGGGGGCCCAGGAAACACAAGTATTTATTGGGCTACAGTTTTAACTTAGGCACCTAGACCTTTCTTGGGCCAGTTCCCAGACGGCCCCTTTCTATGCCTATTCGCTATGATCCATGGTCAGGCTATGGTGTAAAGGCATGAAGTTTTCCTATACGGTAGTATCATTTCAAAATGCACTGTTTTAAATGATCAATTTTCCTCACTTAAGTACTGCTGTAACATCCAAATGTCCTTACCTTTTCTGATGCGTAACCTACAGAGACATTTATAACACCTCCATGATTAAAACCATTAACGTGTTTAATAGCACTGGATAAGCCACAAACCCAGTTGTGTGACCAGTCAGGTATTTGCATGAGTGTTAGAGACCACCAGATGGCTATCTCTGCTAAACTATTTTGATACATGCTGATTTGAGTTTTTGCTGGCCAGGTTGCTGAGATTCATCACCACTTCTTGCTTCCACCTAGTAGCTCCTTGTAATTAGGAACATCCTTACCATCCATTTCCACAGCTGCTTTAAGTGAAACAGGTTTGTTTGTTTTCCACAAAAGTATTTTTTTCCACAGTGTCCACTTCAAACTCACTGATACCCTCCCAAGCCTACAAACTGTTTTACATGGCATGATGCATGGCCCATCACTTACAAATCCTGTGTCTCTGTCTTCCTTCCAAAAACAAACCACCCAAATAAATCTTTCAAGCATAGTTTCTAAGAGCTTTTAAGGGTTACAGTTTTTAATAGAATTATTAAGCCAGACCTGGATTGCTAAAGCCATGCCTCAAGGAAGTTTAGAGAAAATGAAATTGCAAGGTATCATGCAAAAGATGAGCGTGGACCCATCATCCTGTCTCAGTAACTTCAGAAGGGATGTGCTGAAGGATTGGTTTTATTCAGAAGCCCTGCTCCATACCGAGCTCTTTTATGTCATCAAGTGCTTTGTATTAGAGGGCCAGACCCTTCATTCCAACCTGAAACAGCACTACAGTATATACACGCTGTAGTCTTTTCCTTCCAGGCTTCTACTTCCCAGATGCACCGTGTGCTCAGGTAAGAGTAATCACAGAGACTTTCATTTTAGTTATTACCACTGAAACAGCACTAGTTGTAAAAGGATGACTGAGATGCATCAGCACAGCTCACTTCAGCTCAGACTTACAACTATGCACCTTAACTCTAAGGGCCAAACCATCCAAGGTGTTCAGGTACCTGGAAATCATGCAGTATCCCCAGTAAGTGGAAGCATGTAACAGTACAACTGCAAGGGCATTTGAGTGAGTTATAAAGACAGAAACACACAGCAAAAATTATGTGAATGATACTTGCATTTTTAATTTTTTTTTAGTTCCCAGAAGCCCTGAGGACAGGAATTGAGAAGTTCCAGTAGAAATGTCACACAGTTTAGCAACGAAGACGTTTGAAAAGCTGGTGAGCTCACAGGCCTCAAATTTGTAAACTGCTGTGACATGACACACAGAGAAGTGTGGCTCATCTAAAAGCTAGATTGATTTATTTTGAACTTAAAAGGATCTCTATTTAATGAAGGTATGCTGGATCGTTGGAGATGGATGCCTTTTTAAAAATCTTCCTCAGCAGAACTACAGATAAACCTAGCAAAAGGAGAAAGCTCTCCAAATCCTCTGAATTATGTCTGATCAGGTCTAATGAGAATGCTCATTAGCAAAAATTCCTATCCAGCTGGGTATATTACCCACCTGACAAGGAACGCTCTTGCAATAAAACCAGAAAAAATGCAAAGAGTAGAGGAGCTTTAAAAATGTCATTACTAACATGGTCCAAAGTCCATGCACCCCTGTCTCAGCCATTCACAAGCCACTTGCTAGGAAACCTTAATTCTGCAAATTCTCTTTCTGGGTGAAAGAGACTCTCCAGAAGAACACCTTTTTGCATGCGTGTTTTTAATAAAGAAAGGAGGAGAGCATATAGATCACACTATAGGATCAGGTCTAGCTGGTGGATTGGAACACTCAGGTCCAGGAAGGAAATTTCAGCTGATAATTCTATAACTGATATGACTGAGTAGCATCATAATGGAGCAATATTTACACTAAGCACACTTTTTTTTTTTTCCTCACAGATTTCTACCATTTCCCTTTCCAATCTTGGTCTTTGTTTGTTTGTTTGTTTGTTTGTTTGTTTGTTTTTGTTTTGTTTTGAACTTTTTTTTTTTCATTTCACTAAAGGCCCCAAATGGGAACTGCATGGGGTAAAGTGCACCTACTGTTTGCTGAAAATTTTCTAGTGCTGACATCTCATGTTCACAGCACAGAAGGGTTAAGTGCCAATGCATGATATAAGCGCCATACCTTTTACATGGAAGACAGAAAACAGGACTTATAAATGAACACCTTCAGTCTGCACAGGCTCAAGCATCTCTGGAATAGTGTCACAATGACCTTTGTAGCTCCTCTGAATTTTAATCTCCAAGACAAACCAGTTTCATCTAGACTGTTCTGGGATTGCAGCATCCAATGATCTACACTACATTCAAATGTGCAGTGTTCTGGTGGTGTTGGTTTTGCTTTTTTTTTTGTGTGTGTCTTTATCCTTAATCAGAAATAAAATCAGTTTAGCAGTTGATTCAACTGACCAGGTGATGAACTTGGTTTGTCCTTGTCTACAGTATCACCTGAAGTCTTCACTGTCAAGTTTACTACTGATAGTAGAATTGGCTTTGCTCTTCAGTGCAATAGGTATCTTTTGAAATTCTGGCTCTTTATTATTTTATTTCTGGTAGTTTAGAAGCAGATCTTCTAAATAACTGTGTTGAAGAGGAAATTGTCTTCTAAACTGCAGAGCTCTCAAGATAAACTATCAAGATTCAGCATTAATTGTTTTTTAAGCAATACTTGATTTTAAGCAAGTCAAAAGTATGTGGCAGAACTGTAAATTAGCTTTTGTCTGCAGTGGTCAGAAGTTACACTGAGTAGTTCAGATTTATTTTTTTTTTCCATTCTTATAGTCTTTTGATGCATGAGAAAACACCTCCAACATCTGAGCAACTGAGCTAAGGCTGTAGAGAACCCATTCTAATTCGTATTCAGCATTTTATCAAAGACTTTTGCAGTTCACTTTGAAATTGATTCTCAAACACTCTGTCCTCCTTGATACCCTGGATTTCCTTCACCTATAAAGCTGTATGAAACCTTGCAAAAGCACAACTGGTCAATGTTTGGTTCACTTTGCTTAAGACAGGACTGTAGCAAGCAAAGCTGGTTAAGCACACAGCCAATAACAACAAACCACATTGGATCCTGCTGCTTGATCTCGGTATTTATGTTAACTCTCTGGAGTTAGAAGAGTCCAGATGCTCGTGTTTGTACCTGGATCCTTAGATGCATTCTCAGGCTTGAGCCTGATGTAATTTTAACTGATTCAATCCAGGCAGTTCACTAGTAGAGTATACTACTTGAATAATGTTTAAAACCTCCTACTTTCACTTTGTACTGGGGCTTTCTGGTATCAGTTAAACTGCAGCACATTCTGAGTATCTCTACAAGCTTTTCCAACATGCTTTCCAGAAGGAGGTCTGAAAGATACTGCGATACCAGCTTGGGAAGACAAGAAGCAGACCAAGATGACCTTTGTCATTTCAGCTTCTCCACCAGTGCCGCAGCTACCAAATTTGAATTAGCTCCTGGATTTCAGTTTGCTGAAATCAAACTCTACTCCTATCTGAAGGTATCTGTTGATTCGGATTTTTTTTTTTTTGATGTGTACACAAGGGGCCTTTAGAAGTACTACAGGAGCCACTGTGCTGCTTGATGTGGTATGCTTTTTCTAGAATAGTAGGCTGAGCAAATACCCTTTGTGTTGTCATCTCTAGAAGTCTAATGGTTTCTAAGGCATCTTTTTTCTGAAGGCATGAAAGTGGAGGCAAATTACAACATGTATGTTGGCAAAGGAGGTATAAATTCCACGAGTCCCTTAGGAAGAAATAAAACCCCAAAACCTGAACATTTTACCCAGAGCGTGTACAAGTCAGAGCATGCTGTATTTCATATACATTTTAAATAATTATCAGCTTGTTAAATGCATTTCATACTATACCACAACATCTTTGCCCAAATTAATGTTCATTATCAAATAAGTTAAAGTTGAAAACAGTTTCAAAAATTACCCCAGTAAAAATGCACCTAGCACAGTATTTTAGTGTAAATATGAAGATTTAGGATAAAGGTTTTGTGCAATTGCACTCTTGCAACAAAATGAAGGGCAAAGAAGATGAACAATTTAATTCAGTGCATAGTTAAACTGGTTGGCAAACTTCTCATGCTTTCTTTGGTCCACTTGGTTCATTGCTTTCACCACACGTTTCATAGCACCTCTGAAAGAGAAACAAAAAAATAACAGAAACGGTTATGGTGATTCTATACAATCTCAAGGAATGTTTACGAATGTTGGGGGAAAAAATGAACTATGATTAATCACTACGAGGCTTCTGAACACTGCACTGATGAGGCTGAACAAATATGTCTTGTTAACTAAATTAGCTGCAGCTAATACAAATAGTTTAATTCAGCAATGATTTTATTAACAGGAATAAACAAATTAAAGTATTTCAGTTTAATGGCTGTGCATTCCACCCTTCTAGCATTATTTCTGATAGTCACACTTAGCAAGTTTGATTTTCACAAGCACCTAGCTGCTCTCAGGGAAAAAATAACTAAAAGTATCTAACAGGATCTAAAAAAACCTAACACTCAGAAACCCTTAGGAAATCTAACCTGCAGAACCTAGAATGTTTTTGTGAGAGAAGGGCTTGCTGTTCAATTCATGTAACTAAGTCATTTAGCAACTTTCCTTTCACAGGTTACTAAAAACCCATTTCATCAGCTGTGGGCAGAGTAAGACCCTTGCTCACACCAGCAGCGTCCCCATTCCTGAGCAGCAACTATTTAGTCCACAAGCACAACACTAGTTTAGGAAGACACCAGAAATTGTCATATATCTCTATATAGAGAGATAAATTCTTTTTGCAGAACAGCTAAGTGTTTAGAGTTTAGTATAGTCAGGACAGTACGCTCAATATCTTATCCTTACATAAAGTGGAATGGGATCTCTGCTACCTCATGATGGGCAAGCATTAGAGCACTCTGCAGTGCCTGCTGTGCTCGAAGAAGGCTCTGGAGTGTTCTACAGATTCAAAAAGGAAACAAAGAAATTAACTTTGGAGCTCTTAAGCTTTCTGGTGCTCCTAAATCTGGTAAGGCTTTGCCTCCATGTTGCTGCTCTTTATCTGCTGCCATTGTTTACTCCCAGTAAAGATGGTGCCCAGAGATTTTTCTTTTGGGAGCAACTGCTGTGCTTTTGAATTCAGTGAGTGAAGACATCTGCATTTTTTTCCTTCCACAAACTTCTGAGTGAAGATCATGCAGCTGACATTTTCAGGGTGAGGAAAATGATGCTTAGACAGCATGAATAGGAGAGGAGATTCTCATAAAAGGCATAGAGAGAGCAGGCCTACAAGTCCTTTAACTGGCAATGCAGGAAAATGGGTTCGCGATTCCAGAGGGGTAAGAAAGCAGAAGAAAAGCAAGTAGCAGAAGGCAAGAGAAGGTTCTGTTGCGTACATCTGCCCTCACAGAAACTTCCAGTTGCAGCAGTTACTCACAGCTGAGTGTATCTTGCCGAGAGAATTTTGTTCTTCACTGGATTCTAGAGTTCCCCTTTTTATCGGTTACTTTAAGAGCCTCTAGCACAAAAGCTCAGAAATCTGAGGCTGATATTTGCAGGTATGCTCAGAAGTCACCCTGCCTCTATTTACAAAGAAGGAAGTTATCTTTTAACACATCTCTGTAAAGACCTGGACGCTTTGCCAACGTGGGAGGGATACCAGCTAAGGGCTTGGTATGAGGGACTACATCCCATTTAAGAAGATGGCACTGACTGACGTCTCCTTTGATTTCTACATCAGAATCGCAGTTGGCAAGTTCTATCACACAAAGTGGATGGTTTCAACCTAGTGCTCTTAGACTCTACGTTGTCACAGTCTGCCCTTATCACTTCTGAGGATGCTGCAGGCTCGTGAAGTAAAATGAAGACAAGGCATCCACCTGGTAGTGTGCACCAGCCTTTTTCAGGATCAGGCCCTGCACACTATTCCAGTTCTGCTCCTGTGGTTATGTCTGAGGCAAGCTGACTTTTGTTTTAGCTAACTGCTCTCTGCAATGGCTTCATCTCAAAAGCCATTTTTAAACATCTGAAAACAGAGGATACTTCTTAATAATGCTTCTAAATGGTGGGATTAAAGATTTTCTCAGCAGCAACTCTAATGAAAACCAACATTCTGAAAAACTACCTTGGAAGAGGTATACTTTTAAGAAAATTCTGCCAATAAAGTTACCAGAGTAAGGAAAATGTGGTCATGGTTTTGCACTTCAAATATTGTCTAATTGGTAGGAGAAAAGTGAGCCTTTAGCAGTGCAGAGTGGCCTTGACACTTTCATGTCATGTAGGTTTTACATTAGCACCACTGGATTGTGCGATACTGTAAATGAAATGAGATCCCACTTTGATGATCTGTGTGCAATTTCACTTAACTTTATTGGCAGACTAGAGCCTGGGTTTATCACCTATACATTTCAAGTAATTTGGGGTTGTTATAAGGAGCCAAGGTTATCATCTTGTTTAGTGCTGCAAAGCATGAAACCTATTAAAACATGACAGGTTTGATTCCCTATGCCTGGCACTAACACACACTCAAAATCATTAGCACAAACCACAGTAAACCAAAACCAGCTTTTAAAATTTATTTTTTTTAAAGCTGATATGAAATTCTGATCATTAGAATTGTACGTGTCTGACTTCTAACTAAGATCAGGTGACATGAGACTTTCACAGAAAATGTGCTATTTCTGTAACTAAAAGCAATGTGGATTTGGCTTTGTTATTATAACCATTACATCAGAAAAGGGAAAATAGAGTTTAAATAAATATCGTTCCTTGGATGCTGTTCAACTCATCCAGTATGTTTGGGTAATAGCCCACCATTAATGATTTTATAATAATTATTTTGCTGTTTTGTTTTGACAACTTTACACTTTTCACTTTCCTTTGACTACTTCATTTTTGACACGTGAAACTCATTTAAATATGTTGCAGCTACATCTAACCAAGGCTAGGTATCAGAAATGGCACAACCATGGCAGTACCAGGGGTTGGTAGGCTGCCACCTCCCTCTGAGCTAGTGTGCCATGCTTTAACTCACATATGCCTCCATAAGTCATGGACGCACCTTTGTTTAACAAGGTCTAAATGACAGTGCCACCTGAACAGTTTCTTTGAGCCAAATGTAGGCCAAGAGCTACGGTTTGCACATGTGCTGGGAGGAAAGGCAGACATACAGAAACAGCACCACTGCGGGAAGAATACTGTGTCCGCATGTCTCTGCCACAGGGAATAATCATCTCCAAACTCTGACACTGAAAACAGACCCGCAGCAGATTCCAGTCCTTGATATTTACACAGCAGCAGAGGTTAAGTGAACAAGGACCATAACACAGGGATCCAAATATTTTTCTTAACCAGTGGAATGCATTCTCAGTAAAGGAGGAGAAAAATGCAATGGCAGTGTGTCACTGAATAATACACAGGAAAGGATTGCTCTGTGTATGTACTGACCTGGAAGGCACTGCATCAGACCCAGCTAGCAATTTATTATACCCAAAAGCGAGAGAAAATATACAGGAAGCCCAGGCAGCAGTCAGAAGTTTGGGAAGGCCTCTGAGAATACACCAGAGGCTTGAGGCCAACCATCAAGACACTGCTAATACGCCAAAAGCCAGGGGCTTTTCAACAGATCCTTTTATGAATTGAGGTGCTGCTCAGGACAGCCCGTCTTAGGCTTTCAAAGGGAAAGACTTCATTTTCACTCCATTTACACTACTGCAGTGTGTCTGATGCTGTAAGTTGGGTCACTCTGAATACATCATCTTCCTTCCAGATCCAGTACTATTTGCACACATAAAGTAACATCCATCTGACTAATAAATAATCACCCAGAGAAGCCACTACAGCAATTGAAGGATGAAAAAAAAAATTGAGAAGGATGAAAAAAAAAATCGTTCATAGGGACATTTTGTATATTAGCTGAAAATTATTCTCAAAGAAATAACCTTGGTCATCAGTACCTGCTACTCTTTACCCTTCAGATATATGGAAGGCATTCCTGCTCTGCAGTTAGCAAAGGATGTTCAGTAACTGCATGCTAATGGAGAAACAGAAAGTACCATTGAAACAAAGGGAAACAGCAATTTAACAGGCTTTAGAGAACATAAGCATCTTACTTATTGAAGACTTTCTTCTCAAGCCGGGAATAAGAAGTGTTAGCCTGCTGCTTCAGGTCTGTCAGATTTGGATATTTTTTCTTCTTCCCTTTCTTCTTCCCTCCTTTTCCATTATTTTTAGAGGAACCAAGATCCACTCCTGTAGCTGCTTCAACCTCTCTCATGAATTCTGCATCTCGCCAATCTGTTAAAAGAAAAAGCATGCACTCAAACTCCAAACCCCAGTAGAATTTGCAGTCTCCTAAGGCACAGGTTCTTGTTACTGCTACGCGAGGGCAGAGTCACTGTGCTGTAAGTTGCATACACAAAGGAAAGGGAGGATAAAGCTGTTAGACAAAATGATAGATCTTGATGAAAAAGTCCTGCCAGTCTGGGATTAGTATCCATTATTAGCTGCTGTAGATAAAATTGTTTTGTAGAGAGACTTAAGTCAAGTTTTTGCAGTAGCACAGTAGCAAAAGCCCAAGCAAACTATTCCATGTGGGAGAGGTGACATAAAACTGTAGTGATTATTATTTAGAAATTGAACAAAATGCCAACAATGTAGCTGAGGAACTTATCTCCAGAAATAAATTCTGAATAAGCTTAAAAATAAACCTAAACAAGATGGAATATGTCAACTTTTGAGCAGAGTAGGGGTGACAACACTGTAACTTTTCTGCATTGAAGAATCACATTTGCTTCAAAACATGAACTGGTATCTGACACCTAAATAGCATTCTTGAATAAGACAACATGACCCTGTTGCCATCAGCCTAATTTTGCACCTGAAAAAGATAATACTTTTTAAGTATCCCACATTTCCTCAGTTTAATTATCTAAATCAAGTTTATTCTCTCGACAATAGTACAACAGTTAATTTATCTCATCAAAGACTTGTTTTACAGTTTTATCAAAACCTCCACACTTCTGAATCCAACCATACACTGTAAAAGGATTCTGATCACAGATACCACCACAGGAAAAAGCATGAACAATTTGGCTGTAAACTCTGAGAAAGCTGTGGTCTTTCACCTTTAGTGTAGACTTGCATGTCAGAACAAGGTAAAAAGTAGGAAGTTAAAATGTGGCTAGAGGATGGGTATCTTCAAGGGGAAATTTAGAAAAATGGTATTGCATTATATAGACTTTGAGCATACGGGTTGGGAAAAAATGTAGCAAGTACCACTTCAAAGAGAAACATCATCCAAATTCAGCATAAATGTCAGAATTCTGTATTCAACAACCAGTAATTGCCAGTCATTTGTCATATAGTTTCCTGTACGTCAGTCACCCTTTTTCATCTGCAGAAATTGTAACACCGAATGTCTACTACTCTCACTTAAGTAGATATAGAAAAATAAACAGTCCTAAATGTCTACACAATTCCACTTATACACCAAGAGAGTCACTGAGTGTGACAAATACTGATAACAACATTTCAGGAAGGTCAGAAGCAATGTCCTCACTTAAGAACATGGTGTTTAGGAATATCAGCGCAATTTTCCAGGGAAAGGTTAGATCTAACCTAGGTATGATACGTGAAAGCAAGGACTGATTAAAATCCAGCACACCAAAAAGCATGGGGAAAATGAAGCTGTGCAAGAACTGAGACGAAGTATAGAGGGAGAAAATACAACACATATACTTGATAGATCGTAAGACCTCACAGATTTTTTTATTTTTTTTTTTGAAGTGAAGGAATACAGAACAACACAATTCAGATACAGGAACGATTAATCCAAGATTAAGGAAAACTGTCTAAACAGTTTATCTCCCAGTAATAAGAAGGCGTCACAGTTTAGGAACCCAGTGAATGGAGCAATTGTTTAAACACAACGAAAAAATGCTGGCATCCAGTAGAGATGAAATGAGCATTTGAGTAAAATGAAGGAGCAATTTAAAAGCCTTTGAGAAAAATCAATAGAATGCCAGGGAAGAGCAGCCTTTTTGAGCATTGATGGGCCCCTAAAGCTCTTCATACATTGTTACTGAGTTTAGCAGCAGGGAAAAGAAAATTACACAGTTTGCAAGGGTAGGCGGGAATCAATACTGTAGTTAGTAAAGAGATGCTATTTCACATCTGACTGGCCAGCGGCCTGCCTTCACCAGCCTGTCCTGATACCTGTTTGTTAACAAGTCACTAAGGGCTGAAAAACCAGATACTCTTCAGGGTTGACACAAAAAATAGGCACTTAATTTGCTCCTGTGTGAGAACTATTGGAAAAGGATGAACACTGCAGATTAGCAGGTCAGTGTAATCCCACCTGATTCATTGTTTCAGGACCGAAGAGCCCAAAGCACCATTTTGTGGACATTAGCTAGAGTTTAAAATGTTATAGTAAGTTAAAAAATGCTCTATAGTAACAATGACGGTGTTGTCAAAACATAATCATTATCACACGAACTGTATTACTTTTACATAATTGTTCTCCCCTTCAATCAGGTAAGGATGAAAATAAACCTACCATTCAATAGGAAAAAGATGTAGGAAGAATTTTGGTGCAATTTAACCATGCAACTGATCCACAAATTTTACTGTTTTTTTTCAAAATTTTTCAAACTGTCATTATTAGTAAATGATGTGGTCAATCATAAGACTAAAGCACTTACTGTGCAGAGTGGGTTCTCACTTGTATATTTTCTACAGCAGCACTGCTCAAGACTTTCTTCAAGTCCTTTGTAAGTAAAAAACCCCAAACCTCAATGCAAACCAAACCCTTCTCGAAACCACAAGCCCAAAACAAACAAGAGACCATTTTAAAATGTTAATGAAAATATTATAAAACAAATATAAAAATAGTGAGGCACAGAAAAAAAGCAAATAACAAAAAGCAGTGGATAAAAGTATTTAGTGACATTTGATATACATATGGCTTTAGAAACCTGTAAGGTTTTGTCCAATAAATTAAGTGCCATAGCTTGTTCAGTACCTCCCCAGACAGACGGGATGGACCTTTGTATGACATCTCAGGTTAACAACGACACTCAATAATGCAACACAGCAATGTCAACACTGGTTTGGGACTAACATACACATCCTTGTGGGCCAGAGGTGAGAAGCCTCTAACAACACCAACCTGACACTGTAATAAAAATAAATATTATGTCTAGCCTCAAGCAATGGCAATTTCACAGGAAAAAAAAAAAAATCAATATTTTTCAGTGCAAGTGATTTTTATATCAGAGTTTTAGTTTCTAGTTTGAAACTAGTCCCTCAAGAACACCTACTTGTTTAAGTTGCTAGTTTTAGTCTGCCATAACTAAGATGGGAACTTCCCTTTTTAGGACACCACCCACACCCCTGCCCTGGTTTCGCTGTGATACCCACTGTTGGGTGGATGCCAGTTTAGAGCACTTCACTCACACAAGGATGGAAACTGCCTGCAAACACAGCACTTCGACATATGCAAACACCAGAAGGTGTTCAATAAATGCTGCGTTTGTGTGGTGCTGGTAATCACCAAGCACACTCAAAAATGGTCAAATGGGTATTAGAGGAAAGTGGGTGGGTCAGTTGCTTGTTTAAATGAACATTAATTTGATACAGACCTTCTTGGGTAACAGATCAACAACTGCTTATTATGATCTGAAGAGGTTTTATGGGAAGTTCAGTAGCCTCATTAATTATACATATACCTGAAACTGGTGAAATATTGAGTCAAAGTTTAAGAGAGAACTAACTCCTTAATGTGAGTATATGACAAGATATCAAAATTATAATGCCTATGGGTAGGTTTAATTCTAATGCAGAATATTCACCTCGAATATATAGCTTAAAACAGAAAACTAAGACTTGCAGGAAGAAGGCAGATTAAATAAAATCTTTGGAAACAAATCTGTCCCCTCGAGTTATACACTGTCTTTGCTGGATAGATCCCTCTCTCCCATCTTCCTTTGCAGTTCATCAAATTCCAGTAGCTTCCTGGTTGCAACCCCCCTGGTGCTATATGAAAAATCTACCTTCTGTCCATCACTAATGAGGTTTAGTTCTCCTATTGCAAAAAAGTCTTATTCCCCTTGGAAGTCTTCCTGCCTGTGTACTCACTGCTTGCTGTCTTTCTCTTTGCCTGCATCCCTCACCTAGCAGTCCGGAGCTTTATCCTGGCTAAAAATGCCCAAAAAATCTCGGGGAAGGCTGAGCCTTCTCTTTACACCTGAAGGTAGCAGCCAGGATGTAAGAAGGCCATTAGTTTTGTTGCCTGTCCCCATTGTTTAAAAACAAAATCGAGAGTATTGCACAGTAACATGGAAACAAATAAGCAGCACAGGTCTGCTTGCTCCCCTCCTCAAGCTCATCGCAAAGATCATGCCTATTAGAACACCCAGACTAGTTATAATGCCCATAAAGTAAACCCAAGGCAAGGGCTTCCCTAGGTCAGAGTATTTTCTAATGATGCTGCACAAGCACACAGCATAACAGGGCTAAGAATTCTCCTAAAACCCAAGTAGTAAGTGAGTAGATATGGGAAATATAGAACATGGTAGATATGAATAGATATAGGAAAAACAAGTTCCCACATTGTGACAAAAAAGCCCATTCTGACTATATTTGTGGTAACACAGTGATCCTAATAATATTATCATTATATTACATAAATCACAACCGTTAAGGACTAACATGATTAGATGTCTTCTTTTCAGAAGCATGGGAACAGTTACTGTTGAACATCTCCCTGGAAATAGGTTTAATTGTCCTTAATAAACATGTTCCTTAAGATAAAGGCCATAATTTGTCTGCCTGAGAAGTATTAGGAACATTATGATAACTGTTGGAAATAAAGAACAAATGCAATGTTAATCGTATTCTGCGTACGCATGCATCCATATTTACCACATAAGCAAGAATCACTGCAAACAATCTGCAAATTAAAATCAACAGGAATTTAAATGAAACAATGTGGCTAGGAGCAAAACAGAAATATGATCCAGTTCTATGGACCACAAACTGTGCCTTTACCAACAGAAGCATCAGCTCTCTTCCTCCATATAGCCTGTCACGTTAGCTGTCCAACTGTATACTGAGATTGCTGTGAGACTTGTATCTACATATACAGGACTGCTGTCCTACTTGTATCTATAGGGATACAATATATAGATACAATGTAAACACAAGATATTGTAAATGCAATATATGAAATATATAGATACAATGTAGGTACTATGTACACAGTTATTTTATAGATTGTAAATATACTTCAGATATTGTAAATATTATATACCATATGTATACAAACATTAAATAAAGATATTACATTTAAAGCTTTTTTTTTTTTGCCTTTTTTTTTTTTTTTAAAGATGCTATGCAGACACAAACCTGGCTGAGCTGCTTGCTTCTCAAGACGTATCTTTTCCTCTCTGGCTCTGTCCTCTGCATTAATGGGAATCCCTGATTCATCCCGAGGAATTATCTTTCCATGGAAAGGGCACTTCAGAATGAAAAGGGAAAGAAAAAAAAGAATCTAAAAATTTCTGGATGAAAAGAAAATGTTTACATGTTACTCAACATAGCAAGTCAGACACTGGAATCAAGCAACAAAACTCTCTATGCTTGATTCCCTGTGCCCCTTAGAAAGCATCAGGATCCCATAAACATCTTGTGTTTAATATATTCAGAATCTCAAAGAAATATACTCTTTGTGATATGAATATCCAATTTCAGGTGGCCAGGTAGCACATCCTGTCAGGTTTGGAACAAGGGTACCAAATACTGCATCATGTATTGCTGGTTATGCTGTATCCCTATCTTTTAACGATCCCATTTAAAGTACACTAGTGCATTTGGATCCTTCAATCTCAGACAGTACAGGAAGAACAGGTATATTAGAACAAAGTGTTGAAGCAGAGTATTTCTGCTCAGTAGGATTCATAATTTGAGGCTGTATAGGATTTAGCTTTCATAAAACCCAATTTGTAAATAAAATCTCCTTGGCCCTCAAACACCCAAGTTTCTGAAAAACAGTTAATATCAAATATGTCTCTAAATGAGGAAAGCTTTTTGGCAACCAACCATCTTTGCTTTACTGCCAGGTACTCATATCACAGCAATAAAATAAAATATAAATACCTATGATGAATGCCAAAAATATTTGAGCATTCCTTAAATGTTTACAGCTTCCTTACCAAAAGTATGCTTCCCATATGAAGCATATTAACAGCAAACTTCTCCAGACACAATTTTCTTGAGCTATATTTACAATGTGAAATAAACTTTTATGGACATGTTTTAATTAGATCTTCTAGGATATGTGCTATATGGAGAAGTTATGGAACTTGGTGCCCACCTTAATCCGATCTTGTCTTTCACACAGACTTCCATTGGGCATTGGTGCTCGACATTTATGTTTGACTGGTTCAAACTTGCCAGCAAAGGTTATATATCTAGTTTTTAACATTTCATTTATTTCTTTATTTTCTACTTCTTCCTCTACTTCACTTGGGGCCCAAAACCGATGCTCAGAAGCAAATCTGGGAAAACAATGAATGAAAATTATTCACAAAGTTGTAAGAAAGCATGCAAAGATGCCAGTATCATCCTGTGGTAAAAGAAGGGATGCTTTACTAGTGAATTAGAAAAACCTGGGAATCTACCGTTCTTCGTTAGGACTCCTCTATTATGAGGATGTTTTTAAAATATCACCAAAGCCTGTCTAGTATTGATTTCTTGTTTAACCTGCTAACCTATTACAAGTCTTAGCTCTAGTTCATGATCTGACATTCAGAGGCAGTTATCCGATATCCAGTTTCAGTGAATAACTTTGTAATTCTGTAGTTAACATTCTTCATAACAAAATACTTCTATGATTAAACACAGAAGATAGATCAGGGAGGAAACAGTTTAATCTTGCCTAATCTTATTCCTGGTAGCTGTACTCCTGTAGCAGCAGAGAAGCAGGAGCTTTAAATCAGAGTATGTTGCAATATACTGAGAGCAAAGAAAAGAGCAATCAGCTGTGCCTTACAGAGATTCTTTCTTCCAGGTTCTCCTATACAGTGTCCGTAAGCGTGAGAAATTTATGGGTTGATTCTCTATGAAATTAAGATAATCCATTGAAAAACTGTTTTAAAATCTGAGATTTTACCTATATTTACAGACACATATAGGCAAATATACAAAGAAGATTAGTACCATGTCAGTGGATGTGGGGAATGGGAGAGAAGTGGGGCAAGGACCCTGGAGTGATACAATATTTTCAAATTTTCTCAACAGTATTTATATAATTTCATTTTAGCTACTCTAGGCTGACAAAAGTCTATAAGAAACAGGGAACCCCAGAGAATAATTACCTGACTCATTTTAAATGCTAATCTTAGGATGCAATGACTGTCCCTCTGATGGTAAATGTTTCTTTCTTTTAATGATGAAAAGAAATTAGGGTGACCATCTTAAACTTAGATATCTAACTTTAAGATATCTGAAGTTAAACAACAACGATCCCATCCCAAATCTAAGGAAATATGAAGACAAAAAATACAGCTGAGCTAAAAAGAGAAAAAATACAGCTAAAATAAGCAAAAAAAAAAAAAATCCAGCCTGCATGTCTCCTCCTTATTACAAGCAAAATGGAGATATCTAGATGACAGATGTCTTGATAAGGACTTAAAATTCATAAAGGACACTTTACAATCTCTTTCTTCCACATAGCTCTTCCACCCAATCAGTCCCAGACTTATTTGAGAGGATTTTCTCTATCCATATCCAATTCCTCTCACTCATTAATATCTTTGTGTGTCATTCCTACTTCTGAGGCTTTGCCTTCTGCAGACTGCAGAGCCACATATACATGAACACTGGCTTCACTAATCACAGTGAACACAATTCAGCAAAGCACATAAGCCAATACTTAAAGAATTACTTTAGTGGGCCCAAAGAGTTTTGATGAATTTTATCTAAGCAAGTTTTCAGCAGATGACAAGGGAAAAAAAAGAAAAGTGGAAGAAAATTATCTGACCTTAGCAGCCTAACATATATAGCTGCTGGTTTTACTGCAACAGTCGACCATTTAAAACTATGTAAAGTTATTAGAACTAGGTTAAAAAAGGGATTAAGCAATTTCGAAGCCATTCTATGATTTTCCAAATCAGCAGAAAAATGTTCAACAAGTAAAATCCTTCTAAAGAGATTCATGCTATCCAATAATTTCTTCATCAAATGTACCTCACTAGTGCCAGAAAAATTCTAACCTGCCATAAAGTAAAAGTAACTTTCTTCTGGTAAATTACGGGATAAAGGCAAAAGAGTTGTAGTGGAGGATAGTTTAACATTAAACACAGTAATATGTTTCTGCAATTTTTTGATTAAAAAAAATTATTTTCAATCACACAATTCTGCAAACTATATCCTAAACAAAAAAAGATCTAAAAATCTTTATAATATACCAATATGACTTTAGTCAAACATCTGAATGGTGCAGTATTTTAGCTTCAGAAATTATGTGGCAAGATTGCACAACAGACAGTAAATAAAAGAATGAAATAAATTCTTATTTGCTTAGTTTTAATACAATCCTGAAAACTGACTGCTAACTCTGTGTTACTAACCTTACAGATACAAGAAGGGGAAAGCATTCCCGAAGTGACCCCATACAGGATTCCTATGTGCAAGGTAACCTTACAGAATCTCTTAGCAAAATTCTAGTGTCCTTTGGTGGTCTGAACTCCCCTCCCCCTCTACATGATCAAATTAAGGTTACATGAGAATGAAGAAGCATTTAAGAGTTGTGCATGACAACCTTTCCAATTAGGAAAAAGTTCTATTTAATATTTTTTCCACGCCTTTCACCCCCCTCCCACATCTGCATCCAACAAATCTCAAGGAAATTAAAATTATGTTTTACTCCATATATCATTGATCAGTATTTGGGAACTGGACTTAAAATAGCCTGATTCCTACACAGATATTCATAAATATTGTTGTTTACTACAAGCACATAACTTATTTTCTGAACAAAGCAGTGCTAATGCCCAAAGTTTTCTCATTTCCTGCTCTTGTAATGTAAGCAACATTTTAAAGAGGCAGAAAAAGTTATTTATGTGGCAAGTAAAACCTTTTTGTAAGAGGGATCAGACGGGGAACAGATAATCAACTAGATCAACATCCCACTCAGACTCATAGAAATAATGTTACTGATCTAGACAAAAAACAAGCTTTAATGGAAATTACATAGCTACACATTAGGAGGAATAAAAGACAAGCAATGGTTAATTGAACTCTAAAACTCCAGCTCCCAGAGAGATGTTGCACTCTTAACAAATTTATATCAACTGCATTACAATGATGATGGGAAGCTTATCAAAAGCTTGAATAAATATAAATTCTAAGCCCATATAATACATAGAGAGATCCTAGAGCAAGTGCTGAATGAGCTAATTCAAATATCCTAGACATAGTCATAAAAAGTGCTGCACCAGCTAATTTACTCTGATCCCAAGAGTAAGATAATTTAATTCAAGGAGGAGGGTAGATGAGTTTTAGAAGGCCCATGCTATCCAAAGTAGTTGGTTATGTTGGCATAGCAGTCTCCACACACAACAACACTGGGCAGTGTACCACCATTTCCAAAAAAAAGTACTTCTACAGCTTTATAAACTTTGTTTGAGAGTTCTTAAACTAGTTTAATGAGTTGTGTGAGCGAAAGCAGAAGTAGGGAAAATGGTTCGGCGAAAGCTTTTTGTAAAGCTCACAGTTACTGTTACCTTCTAGAAAAGGTGACAGTTCACCATTTGTCAGCTATACAAAACTTCTTTGGAAAATCATCTTCCTGGTAGCTACATTCTCACAATCAAAATCTTATTGTAAATGTTGTAATTAAGTAAGTGTAGTGTTAAATACGTGAAGGGAAAAAGACCTTTCCACTTCAGATTTTAAAGATTCAAATTCCATACACCTTTCATATCATCTTTGTTGGGTTTGCTTTTTTTTTCCTAGGCATCTTACAGAGCCACTATGTGTGCATATAGAAAAGTTAAAAGGAGTTGGCCAATGACTATCTTAATTTCTCAATAAATATAATTTATACCCAGGGGTCAATGGTATTGTGTGTGCAGAGTTACTTAAATTATCTTTAGTTAGATTGGCATATCTGTAGTTATAGACTATAAGGTTCAGAAGTGTGCCCTCTGTTTTATTGGAAAGCATAAAAATAAAACAGTACAGCACAAGGCAGACAGGCAGTGAAATATGCTTCTGATTTCACTTATGACTTGAATAACTCATTTGCAATGTAAAATAAAGTCTTACTACCTTTTTGGCATTATCACAGACAAATGCTTCTTAAAGCCCTGCTGAAAATCTTAACCATTTTATAGGCTTTGAAGAGCTTACACCATATCAGACAGAATCCAAAGCTTGGACTGTGTTAAAGCACTATTACGTATCAAATTTCACTGGTTTTCAATAATTTAAAAAATATTCAGCATTTTATGCAATCAGGTACAAGGGTAACACTTTCTTCTTGTTTCTTTCAGCAAACACTGACCTCTCACTGCAATCATGGGTTGTTTATTTTGATAAGAAAACAAACTAAGTTAAAGTAATACTGCTGAGAATATATGAGATTAATTTACAATCCAGCCAGTCAATGGTTTTTGCCTTTTCCAAGCCAGGTATGGTACACACTAATACTAATGTTCTGGTGGATGTTAATTAAATTTATACATAGAAGGAGGACTTTGCATCCTAACTTTCATATAAAAATGCTAGTTCTATAAAGTTTTTTAAAAATGACTGCTAGAAACAAGTTCTGATGTATACCTACCATCTCTTCTCTCCAGCATTGCTAAAGCTTTCCCTAAGTCATCAATGCTTCACATCCACACTGAAAGAAACACAAAACCTTCCCAAGAAAGAATGGAAAGTGAGAGATCTAAATTCAAATCCTGTAACTTCCACCTATTTCTTGAGTGACTGAACAAGCATATCAATTTCCTCAGTTATCACTCTGTGAAGTCAGTAAAAATATCCCTGACACCTCCCCAGTCTTTCTCCTACCTTGTCTGCTATTTATTTAGACTGTAAAGTCCCCAGCAGAGGGCCTGTCTATCATGCACTTGCATAGCACTTTGCATAATGAGGTACCAATTTAAATTGGAGTAAGTGATGCCATGCTGCAAATAATATACAAACATGAAAGAGCAGGAAAAAAGTGCTCTGAAGCATCAAAGGATATTTAATTAGTATCACATCTTAAAACAAATAACATTTTAAGGTAGAATTTCTGACTTTGTTCATGGGTCCTAGAGCACAAGGGAAAGGAGAAAAGTAATTATCAAAAGAAATAGCAGTCACCTCACCGCATGACCTCTGAGTACAAGTAAATCTATATATTTGTTTATTTTCTCTTAAAAGAAAGAAAGCATTACTTGAGAATCTTCCCAGCATTTGGCTGATCCTGTCCCCAGTAGTGAAGATCTAATCCAAAAGGCATGAAGGGAGCTTTAGCTCTTTCTTCTAGTTTTTTTCTCTTACTGTCAGGCTCTTCCAAGGCTGCTGGCTCACTAGTTGCAGAGTCACTAGAGAAATTTGATGAAAAGTCAATACAGAACTGCAATGATCACAACTTTTTCTCTTTTTTCATTAGATTTTCACACCAATGCTAATATTATCTTTGATCTAGGACTACAGCTACCTTTACAGGATTGTCCTTTTTTTTTTTTAAAAAAAGGATACACAGACCATAACATCACACACTAAGTACAGCACACTGCACATTCAGCTAAAGCCAGGTAAAATGTATTATACCGTAGGTGTAGAAGCCTAGAGATCTAATGGAGGCAGCAGTGAATCATACATGCTGTACTGTAACATGAGCTACTGAAGCAAACCATTTTTAGAAAGATCTTGTTTGTGTAAACTCATGCCCATGTTTGCATGGCAGTCACACAGATTGTAAAGTCTTTGCTGTTGCTAACAAGATCCCATATTGCAGACTTATTGTACTCCATATGTAACACCACTACAGAACTCATTAGTCCTCAAAAACCACAGTATTACTGTGGAGACCTTGGGTATTCATCGATAGAGCTGAAACATTAACTTTTTAAAGATTAAAAATAAAAATGTACAATTGAATACTCTAAACTCCAGGGTTCTAATGAAGCAAACCCATTTCTATTTCTGACATTATGTTCCAGTCTGCTAGGTTTTGGGGACTTTCCTGGCCAATGCAGAATTGTCCTTTCAAGAACATGCCACTAAGCAGATTACTCCTGTCTTATCCCCAAGTCTCAGATAAATGCTAGATGAGGCTGGAGTTTCACCAAGCTTTGAATAGAATTGACAACAAATAGATCTTCGGAATCAGTAAAACACACCTCCAGGCAGCACTGACAGCATAAGTCACTAGGAACCAAGAGATGGTTGAAACTACTGTCTAATTTAGTATTAGGATACATTCTGTTTAGTTGCAAACAAAAAATTACCCCAATAGATAGCAATGGGTTTTTTTGTTAGGAGGGAAGGGAACACTTCGTATTTTAAGAGAATCCATTTACACCAAATAAAACCTAAACCAAGTGAGTAGTAAAAGGTTCCTTAAGATCCTGGTGCAATCACTGACAAAATCCCATATATTAAGCAGTGAACGTACATCTCAGTAAAAGAATTGTAACTTCAAAACGAAACCAAGACAGACTTAACAGTTTGCCTAGTTCATAAGCACTTTTCTGTGTGCTTTCATGACTAATAAATACAAGAGCAAGAGGTTTCTACAAGAATTAAAGCAAAGATAACCTGGCACGTGGAGGTGGTAACTTTGGTAGTTTGTCTCTAATAAGTTTCAGTGTGGCAGCTGCACAGGTTGGATCAAGTTCATCTTCATTCCCTCTTGTCCGGGTGCGGGAGCTCAGCGGAGCTGGTCTTGTTGATGTCTTCCCCACTGGTGCTTTTGGAGGTGACTGGGGCTCTAGCCCTGCAAAAAAACTCCACGTTTAGGAGCAATTCATTTCTCCCACCCTCAATGCTTCACGGTGGGGCCAAACAGCTCAGGTTGCTGATTGCATGTCTTACTGCTTTCAGTTTGCATTAGACATCAGTCCTACTCGTAGACAAGAGTGGTATTTCTGTCTGTGAAACTTTTTCTTATTGTGGGACAGAAACATACTGAATATCAATAATCAGAAACATGCCAAATAACTAAACTACAGCAAATCAACTTTTAAATTTGTATGACATCGTGTGAAAACAAAGAATGATGTTACTTCACCTTGGACAGAAAAATTTTAACAATATATGTTTGCTTAAACAGCAATACTGCTTTTTGTATATAAGTTTCCAGTGTCACATCTGCTTGCTGGTACATAATTTCCGTATTCAAGATTATATCAAGGTAAAATAGAAGAAAGGAACTATTGGCCCTACTGTTTAACACCTAGAGTCTCAAAAGAAACTCAAAAGCAGCAGAAAACAAAAGCAAAGGCATACATCCATATTCTTCTGTGTGCTAAGATTAAGTCTTTGTGGTGTCTCAGCAAAAAGTCCTGCTAAAATTCTTACAGTCTGCCAAAGAGAAACTGCTTCTGGGTGGGGGATTACCTGCAACATGACTGATAAGAACAGGAACCATTGTCACCCAGCACAGCTGGCAGGGAAGCACACCCGGTAAAAAAACCCCAAAGTGCGTGTGAGGCAAATCCCTGTGTTCTGATGATTCTCATCTACCATACTGACCCATCAGAGCTGAGAATATAAAACAAAACAGCTGTTTTTTTTGTTCCCCCCCCGGTTTGTTAAGGGGCAGCACCACTGAGAATAGTTGCATTTCACGTCCTAAATATATCTGCAAACAGAATTATCTAGCGAATGTTCTTCTTTCACGGATACTAAAACATGCAATTTGCCAAGATAAAATATCTAAGTGCTGGAAGAAGCAACGAGTATACCCACAGAGTATGCTCAGGAGACAGTAAATGCCTGAGCTACACCTGAGGCACAAGCCCACTGCAAGGCAGTGCCAGGCACTGGTGTTCAGCACCAGCAGCTCAGTGGTGGGGCAACTTACTTTATGCAGCTAGATTAGACATACAGCATGGACTGTAACGATGCAGTTAGACAGGCTGAGCAGTTAGACAGCACATGCCGCTACCTGCTGAGTTAGAGAAGCAGCTCTACTAGCTGGAAGTACCACCAAGAACTTTTCAGCCAACAACAGCTAAAAATGGAAAGACATGATCCCTCACACTAGCGTAACAGACTACATTTTCCCCATCAGAAAATCTTCTTATGAAAGAAGTGACTGAAATGGAAGGCCCCACCCCCCAAAATACCTAAATCAACACAAAAAAGTCATGGTTTCACAAGACTAAAATTTTAAGCAAATTATCTCAGCTGCCTCATGAAAAGCAACTTGACATGTTTCAGCCATTATTTAATTGGGACTTTTAGTCTTGCCCGCTTCTAGCCAGACCTGAAGCTGTATCCAGAAGTATTCTTGCTTTGCTAATTATTAAATGTGTCACAAGATATCAACTGAAAAAGGAAAAGCTAATGTGCTATGGACCTGCCTTCTGAGTGAGAAATTGGAGGACCTGTAGCAGCAGGTAGCTCTGGTGCACAAAATATTTTTATTTCAGAGGAAAAACCTATTTTTCACAAACAAAATCACAGCAACTTGCCTTGACCCCTTCTTTCTACCTTATAGGGTCTTGCAATAATTCATCCTGACCTTGATTCATTTGTACCACATGTTCCCTGTAACCTATGGGGTGTAACAACACAGAAGGCATTGCCTGACTCCAGGCACAGGACAAGTTGCTGAGCTGGCAACTTTCTAGATCCATCCAGATACATATGGTTTAAACTACATATGGGTCATATGGGTCTAAACTTTCCAAGTACCTAGATCAGGTACATATGGGTCTAAACTTTCCAAGTACCTAGATCAGGAGCTAAGCCTTTGCACAGGGAATGACATCTCCTCCTCATTTTCCAAGCTCAGGACACGGAGAAAAATGCTCTCACAACCCCCTCTTTAACCTAGTTCCTGGACATCCCCTCTCCAGAGGGAGCCAACAATCCAAATTTAAAATCCAGAAAGCTAGAGCCCCTCTGAAGGAGAGAGGAAACAAAAGCAGACATCCAGTTGGATCTGGCTTGCATGCATGAGTGTCCTTTAAATTTTCCTACATACAGCAAGTAGTCACTTCACTCATTCTTAGATCTTCTTAATACAACAGATTCCAGAGAGGAGAGAGCACTCCAGAACACTCTCAAAGATGAGGACTCTTCTAGACGTGTCTCTGTAATGTGGCTTATACTGGTAACAATGAAGGAAAATGTTTTAGGGGTAAGGTGATTCAGGGCAGAGGCCAGTAGCAACAACTCTGGTGGACGGCTTACCCACTCCTTTCAGAACAAGAGAGAGAAGAAAATATGATCTGCAGAAAGAAAAAGGATGAGAGAACGCTAGCCATCACTAGTTAGTAAGCATTCATAGAAACTTCTCTGTGTTCTCCTCGCTCTCCCATAACAACTCAATACATTCCTTCCACTTATCCAGTATATGACAAAGAGAAATGTGGACCATTTTAATAAGATGGTTGAGCGGAGGCAAGTATATCCATGAGTCAGCTTGTGTGTGATGGTATTTTCCCATGTCCACAGGGACCAGACCCAGCTCTGTCAGGTTGATGCATTCCACCTTTCCTAAGAAAAAGCTACTTAAGTATCATGTAAACACCCCACAGGAGTGAACACATATCTGAGAATGGATATTTCAGTAGTGCCAGTCCCACGGCTGTCCTGGAAAGACTTCAGCAAGTACCCAACTGGCTGAGTGTTTGCAGGCATCAACCATTGCAGAGAGGGGAAAAAAAAAAAAAGACATTCACCACAGTCTGAAGCCAGTGTCAAACCCAGCTCTCTCCTGACTCCCTGTTCTGCTCTCTGTAAAACACCCCAAAACCAAATCCCACATTTCTGAGGCAGGGACAGTGCCGCTTGAGCTGTCCCATGCTTCCTGGGAACTGAAGTTAGCAGGGACTGCTAAGTTTGCAAAGAAGGATCACCCCTTTTTAATTTTTATGTCTTCAGATTGGAGATTAGAAGCAGTTGTAGACAGACACAGGACATCCTGCTGTTGGCCAGTGCTGCTGCTGAGTGTGCCTGACACGACTACTCCCTTACTCAGTCACTCCCACATCACATACTCTAATGAAAGCAATGAACATACCACATTCACCTTGTTATTTAACTTTCTTTCCCAAAGTCAACAAGGCTTTAAAGAACATTGCTAAAAAAATAATTTAAAGGACTAACCTGTGCATTGAAAAAGGGTCTCAAAATTAGCAGGACCACCAATAAGGGAAATAGTAATTAAGCATAGTAAGATGGAACTAAGCAGAGAAATATCTAGGCTAAGTAGCAGAAGAAATATCTCATGACATTTATTATTAGGCTGTGGACTTGTCATTCAAGAGGGATAATGGTGCATCCACAAAAATGTTTCTTAAACAGCACTTCAGTGAAATATTAAGGGCGCAATATTGAATTTATGTATCCAGAAAGGGGCCAGGATACAACTCCATCGCAGCTCCTGTCATGGACTATAAATGGAAAAAGCCCTTCACAGGTGCTTTGCATCAAAGTGAAACAGAATTAATCAAAAAGACTCTATTACAACCACACTTAAGAATCATCAGGATTTGGAAGAGTAAGCTTCCTTTTATGATAGAAACAACTACAAGCAAATAGGCCCTTTGGCATAAACAAGGTTAGCTGAGAAAAATATGATAGACAGTATCTGTTACACAGAATTGTTTAAACTGTATTTAGCATCTAAAATTGCCTTTTTAATCTTTTTTTAAGGACAATAATATCTTTCTGAAATGCACTATTTAAAGCAATAGTTTTGAGACCACTTGTATGCCTACTATTTACAAACCATCTTGAAGTCAGAAGGTAGCAGGTAGGTGCCTCACCCCTTTTCTTCTCTTTAGAGAGAATATGTGCATATGTATTAAAAGTCCTCAGGAAACCTTAGTTTTATTCCAATTTTTTCCTATGATGTTTACGGAAAGCATGACTGCTCATTCACCACACTGATTCTGTTTGAGGGGGAGAGGAGAGGATGTGAATAGCAGAGACAAGCAGTCAGCAACACACAGAAAAGGCAAGAGAGATAAATGGACAATGTGACATTTAGTTAGATAAAAATCACATCCAAAAGATCAATATAGGAATTCTTAAGAGTTACAAGAACAAAATATTTCCCCATTGATTTCTTATTTTAAACCATTAACAGAAAAATGGCTAAAGGTAAATACACTATGACATCAGTAACACCACCTTCACTGGGGATTTTTTTAAAAAAATATTTGTTTATAAAATTAGTTTTTGCTAACAAGATAAAAACAAGAGTCATCATGCAGACAGCCCTGGTTGAATGGTATCTGATATCAGGGTGTTTGTTTTGTTTTTAAGACATAGATGGGATTAAGTGTAGGTTTAAAAGTAAAATTCCTCTTAAGAATTCTGCTGTTCTGTGCATTTTATTTAACACAAGTACAGTACCTGGGTTCAAATTGTTCCAATACAAGTCTTTAGAAAGAATCATAAAAATGTTCAAATCCCCTTTTTTGTTTAAATTGACCAAATGGCACCTATTTGCCTGAAGCAATAAAGCAGACCGTGTTCACAAGATAAATCGATAGAAGGAAAGAGAGAGGCTGGGGTTTCAGCTGAAGTTAGGCTGCTGAATGCTGACATTATTGATTTTAGCTAGTTCAGCTGGCCTTGTAATTAAAATGTAAATTTGAGAAAGAGATTATGTCCTGACAGAAACGGTGGGATTAGGGGGAGATAAAAGCCCCTCAGTGAAAATTCAGAGAAAGAGCAAGCACAGGTTTCCTCAGCTGTGTGGATTTAGAAGAAACCTAGCTACTTTGGATTCACTTAAGTTTAATTGAAAAAACA